GCTGAGGGGCTGTGTGTTACCGTGCGGGGGGTTTCTTAATAACGCCGGCTTTCCCTCTCCAGATTTTACTGTGATTACTGTGACACGTACCTCACCCATGACTCGGTAAGTACTAAGTCCCCTGCGGCGATTCCTCAGCTGTATCAAGCGCATTAAAATAAAACTTACACAGACTAAAGCCAGGTTGCTTGAAATATTACGATGGCCTACTTGTTTCACTTCTTTCCTCTCCCGCTTCTTTGCAAAAAAGAAACAAGAGCAGGAGGAGTTTGGGTGTCACTAGTGGGTCAGTAGGAGACAGCTGGCTGGGTGCTAGGGCAGCCTCTTTTACTTAAACTGGAGTCTGAACCCTTATAGTTTATACACAAAGGTTTTGCATGTCACCCGTCCTCCGACTGGGCGCAGAAACCAACCTATTTTATACTGCTAAACTCCATAAGTTTGAAATTACGCAACTGTTCCCAGTGAACTTTGGGTTTATGTGATGTAAGCTTTGGGTTTACATGCTCTTTCTCAGCCCTCCGTGAGAAAAACCCACTGCAGTGGCCGAAAACACAAAGAGAATGTGAAGGACTACTATCAAAAATGGATGGAAGAGCAAGCTCAGAGCCTGATTGACAAAACAAGTAAGGCTAATCCTTCTGTGACCCTGGATTGCTCTCCCGTTACTTCCCCTGTCTTTCCTCTGGCTGCTTTTCTTCCGTTTTTCCATGTTGATTCTTCCTCACTTCCCTGCTGAGTCTTTGCTCTGTGAATCACGAGCGAAAACTTCGCTTAGAGTCTGAATCTTGAACTCATCAGAGTGTGGGCTTCCACGTAAGGGACTGCAGGCTCTGCCCGAGAGGTTGTTGCAAGCAGGCATTTACTGCTTTACTGCAGTTGAGAGAGTTGTAGATACCACCGCCTTTAGCACTGCTAGTAACGTCATACAAAGTCACATAACATGTTTGTGCTTTTTGATAGTAGCACATTTATGTAAAAAGCAAGAAATCCCAAAGATAGGAAAGTGGACATTGAAATGTATGGATTTTTGCTTTTTTTTTTAATGCTGTAGTTGCTTGCCCTCAATTCTTTAGGGATATTGATTCCCGTCCCTCCTTACTATTTAAGGCTGGCATAAAGTGTGAACTGTTTCCTCTGTCAGTTTATAGGGTTCTTTTCCTCTCACTTGTCCTCTAAATAATGGTTCTTTTCTCTTTTGAAAGAAATACAAATGCCAGATTAACTTTGTGGCAACTTTCTTTAGATCATAGAATCACAGAATATCTCAAGTTGGAAGGGACCCATAAGGGCCATCGAGTCCAACTCCCTGCTCCTCGCAGGACTGCCTAAAGCTGAACCATATGACTAAGAGCTTCGGCCAGACGCTCCTTGAACTCTGGCAGGCTTGGTGCCGTGACCGCTTCCCTGGGGAGCCTGTGCCAGGGACCGACCAATCTCTCAGCCTTTCCCTAATGTCCAACCTGAACTTCCCCTGACACAGCTTTTTTCCATTCCCTTGTGTCCATTTTCCTCGTGACACTTGCCACTTCCCCATCTTTTGCCTTCCTTCTGGTCGATTCCAGTCTTTTGAATTTCTTCCCTTTCACATGTTTTTCATGCTTTTTGTCACCTACCTAAGTCTTTGCCTTCTTACCATTTTCAAGATGGCATGTCTTCACCTAATGATCCCAGGTGCAAGTTGCAGCTGCAAACCACGTGATGTATTTTCTCTACCATCCTCCTTCCTGTTAGGTGTGTGAAACTCATCAAGGAGCTCTCCAGCCTCAGCTGGAGTAATTACTATAATAATTGTCTTCAAGAATATCAGGTGCTTCCGCCATGACAAGCAGCATAAACCAGGGATTTGTTCCAGAGTTAGAACAACCGAGCACGCAGCATGACGTGAAGTATGCTCTGACCGCGTGGCATGAGAAGGAAGATTGACGCAGGAGCTTCCTCAGCCTAGTAACTGGTTTTTCTCCTGGGATTCTTTCTTTCCTTTTTTTTTTTTTTCTTTTCCCCCCCAATGTAGCGGCTGCATTCCAGCAAGGGAAAATCCCACCTACACCATTCTCGGCACCACCTCCCGCAGGAGCCATGATACCACCTCCTCCCAGCATCCGTAAGTGTGAACTGGACAGCTTTTGGCTGGGATGGCAGCCCTCTTTAGCTATGTTGCGTGTTCCCTGGACTTGGAAAAAAAAAAGTCCTTTTAGCTTGAAATCAAGCTAAGACAGTTTGAGCTCGTGAATACCAAAATGTAAGAGAATGCTTTGTAAGCGTGTTTCAGCAACCATCTTAATCTTTAGTTTGTCTTATTTTTAGGCATGTTGAGTACGTTAATAGAAATGTGTGCCTCCTCATTACTTGCTAGCTGCCATGTAGATAGCTTCATTAAAACTTCCAGCATGGGGTTTTGGGGGTTGGTTTGGTTTTTTTTTTTTTAGTAAATAGGATTGATAACCTTCTTTGGCACTTCAGCTGGCAAACAGCTGAGATCCCTTTCTGCTTAGAGTCCTGCTGTTGGAAGTGGTAGTCATTTACATTAGGTATGCAAAGTTGGAAATAATTTCTCCGGTTCACTTTTTGGCACCTGAAGTCAGAGTTGAAACTGAAAATGAAGGCAGGCGGTTGTAAAGCAATCTAAGACACCTTAATTACTAAAATGTCCTGTCAAGTTTAATAACTGCTTCGCATTGTACGTTGTTGATGGATGGGAAAGCAGCCAGGTGCGTAACCGATCTGTGTATGTGTTCAGCTGGCCCCCCGCGGCCTGGCATGATGCCGGCCCCTCACATGGGTGGACCGCCGATGATGCCGATGATGGGCCCGCCCCCGCCAGGAATGATGCCCGTTGGACCCGGTAAGTCTGGAGATTGGTAAATGTCGGTAACTGAGGCGCTGCGTGGTCTGGCTTGCAGGACGTTTGGGTTCTGTTTTCTGTCTCACTGGGCAATAGAGAGTTGTGAAAGGAACTCAGCGGAGAATGTGAAGCGGCTGCAGCACTTGGGTGCCAGCTGTGGTGATGCGCTCTAGTTTATAGCTTGCGTCACTTCGCACGTCGTATTAGACGCAGCCACAAGTGCCAAGCTGTGGAAGTATTTCAGTTTGCATATACTGTGTACGCACGTTTGCCGAGCCATTATCTCTGCGTGGTGAGACGCAAAACGGTCTTGGAACTGCTGATTAAAGTTCCTTTACTACTTGTTGAGAGTACTTACTAGTACAACTGAAATTATTGCTCTGCTAAATTGTAGCTTTTCTACCTCTGGTCCTAGCAGTACAGTCTTTAATTGTTTAGGAATTCTGTGTTTGTAGTGCTTCTATTTTTGCACAAGAGGTACATTTCAGCACTAAATGAATTTTATTGTTAAAATGTGTTCCAGAGACACGACACGCCGTAAAAAGTTTTTTTCAGAACCATAAAGGCAAACTAAAATGTCTTGATCCATTCTGGTTTTGAGCTTACTGGCATTTGAAGAATTCTCAGGGGACGTCTTACTGAAGCGGTTACTGGAACAAATCTAAAGGAACACACACACGCGCGCTAAAAGTCATGAAGTGTCTTTGCAATTATTGTCTTGCTGGTAGAAACTGTTCTTTAAGTGTTTTTTAAAGGCACAAAAAGCTGTGCATAATCTGCGATATTAGGCAGCATAGTGACTGCCTGAAAATAAATGGAGAAGTTGGATGGAAACCATCATTTCAGCGCTTTTTAGTAGAGCACCTGCTTTTCTTTGGTAATGCTGTTACTTTTTCAAACACGCTTAACTGGAGGATTTCACACTTTTTTCCAAATGAACTTTCCAATTCAGTAATTAAGCTAGCGTCTCTTTGGAGTGGTTAAAAATAATTTATCAGTGAATACTGTCAAAAGGGGGCATATAACCCAGAAACTTGGTTCTTCCTCTACTAATTGCTAATATCCTTCAGGGAAATGTAATCCATCTCAGCTTCCAGATCAAAGCTTACGCGCTTGTAAAATGAAAGGTCCCTGGAGGGTGGGGGAGAGAACCTGCACACAGTATTGACATGACTCGGCACTTGCCGCTCCTGAGAGCTCTTCTCTAACGTCCCCTCTTTCCCCTTGTAGCTCCGGGGATGCGGCCGCCCATGGGAGGACACATGCCGATGATGCCGGGGCCCCCGATGATGAGACCGCCCTCCAGACCCATGATGGTGCCAACCAGGCCCGGAATGACCCGTCCAGACAGATAAAGGTGGAAGTGGAGCTACCTTCTCTTTTTCATATTACGATCTTCCGTACGATAAAATACCATAGACCTATGTCCCTAGGGTTTTGTATTAAAACAGTGTGTAGAGGAAATCTGCTGTTACTTCAGGTTGCAGACGGTTTGACCTAGATGCACACTGGACTTATGCTTTTGTACTGGTCTGGAGTTTGTTTGTTTGTTTTTTTCCCCCCCATTGAATTTTAAAACGCAACAATAAAACATGGATGCTGGTACAGAGAATCTGAGCCTTACTCTGTGTGTGGTTTTTCTGCCTGGCAGAGAGAGATGTCAGTTTTCTTTGTTCCCTTTCTACCTGTCTTGCACAGAATTTGTCAGGGTTTTTTTTTTTTTTTCTCCGTAGTCCTTAGGTAGTCTCTCTTTTTCATGCCATACCCCTCGAGAGATGTATTACTATCTGCATTTTGAATTCTTGTTTCAAAACAAGTATGCGTGTTTTTCATAAAAAACCAAAAAAGGTGACATCAGAAAAGACTGCAGTGATGTCTCTGACTGGGGAGACTGCAACATTACGTGACTTTGCTAGGACAAAATAGGTTGAATTTAATAAAATGTTGATTCTCCACTGAGGGAAGCAAAGAGATGCTGTTAAAAGGCTAGTTCTTACAGGAATTGTTTTGATGCTGCCGAACATATTTCTGCTTTTCTATTGCTACTGGGGTGTTTGTGTGGACATGTTTAATTATGGTACTGGCGCTGTTGTTTCAGTAGTTATTAACGCTCTGTTCCCTGCTTACTGTAAAGGGATGTGTTGCTGAAGACATATCTGAGGCCTTTTAGCTTATGAAAAGATTTTGCTTTTGATGAGCCGCACGCAATGCAGGTGCACAATTCCAATTGAATTAAAAGAATTTATTCTGTCTGCATAACCGGCTGCTCTGTGCGTGTCGGTTGTCATCCATTTCGGTCTGCAGAACCGTCCAACTCATTCTTGGCATATTTGCAGCCAATGTGAAAGCGTGGGAGCAATTTGTATCTTAGAAGAAAGTGTTTGGTTAGCAGAACTGCGAGGGCTCCTTTTCTGAGTTGCTGTCTGCTGTGGAGAGGACAGTCCAATCATTTAGAGGAGATTATATTCTTAGAAACTTGCGTGCTTTCAACAGTCTCCTGTAAAGAATGTGGTGTAGCTGAGGCATTGAATATTTAATAGCTGTGTTCAGCAAACGTTGAGGTGAGGCAAAAGTTAGAGGATGTTTTTACAATAAACCGTTCTAGGAGTAGACTTTGGCAGCACGCAGCGCTGGGGCTGGACAGGCCCCAGGCTCTCGAGGTCCCTGGGTCTGACAGCAAAGGATCGCGGTGCAGCTTCTCCTGTGTCGGACACCGAGCTGAAGTGATTGTACCAATGCGTATCTTGGAAGGTGAACGTGTCTCCCAAATTGATAGTCTGAGCAGTTTTTTCAGCTTTATGTTGGAGCTGGGTTGCTTTTACATCAAACACACAACACACACCATCAGTGCATATTAATGACTTTCTCCTGGGGAAAAAAATAGGCAGGGATTAGTGCTGATCAGCGCCAGGCTTTGATAAAAGTTCAAGGCTTGTATGCCACTTGAGTCCCCCCCACCGCCTACTATCAGATTAACACCGAATGTACTCAGTAAAGCATAAAGCACCTGATTTTCTTGTCAGGGAGCTGCTGAAGGCGTGACTGATCAGCGTAAGGCTCCGGTGGGTCTGCTGTGCTTGCAGAACAGCGTAATTTTGCATGGGGTTCCCTTTGCTGAGCGTAGCCTTGAAAGCAAAGCGCTCCCTTGTAACCCGAACTGACATCTCGCACAGAGCCTGGAAGGGTCTCGTTCATCGTCATCCTCACAGTTACAATGCAAACGTAAACGTAAGTAGCACAGGAACTGCTTGAAACTAAGGTCGTTTGTTTCTTTTTTTTCCTTCCAAGCAGCCTCACTGATTACATTGCTTTATGTCGAACGTTTTATTTTTGTAGCGTGAGCGCCTCATTTTAAAAAAATAACTCTTTTTTGCTTTGGAAAGGGGTATAAACTTGATCTTGTTCTTATCACTCATTCTGTAGTAGAGGACTCGGATTTAGTCCTTATACAAACCTTTCCCTAAGGCAAGTCATGCTAAATGTCCTTTCTGTAGCATGAACGCCTCATTTTAAAAAAACAACAGCTCTTTTGGCTGACCTGGGATGGTCTTTGGAAGGGAGCTACGCAAGGAAGAGGTGTGAAACTAAGCGGGTTTGTGTCTTGTGGATTTTCACCTGCGTCTCCGAGAGTCTGAATAATCGACATCGTTTAATAGAGGCAAAAGCATGTAATTAAAAACCTGCCTAAACTCGCTGCCCCCCTGCTTACGGGCCTCCCCTTGGTGCTTCCTGCGTGGCCTTTAGTGCTCGGCAGCACCGCAGGGCTGGAATGATCGAGGGATGGGGGTCCTGTGGGGAGGGGGTTCCCATGGGAAGGGGATCATGTGGGGATGGGGTCCCGTGTGTGGGGGTGTCCCGTGGGGAAGGGGTCCGTGGGGAGGGGATCACGTGGGAAGGGGGTCCCAT